GCATTTAAGAAATACGTTAAAGCAAATAGAACTGGCGGGTCAAGGTAATGTTATTAAATAGGCCAGCTTATATTAATCAACCACCAGTTCTATTTGAGTTGACTATATTGCGATAATAATAAACAAAAGGCTACCGATCCTGAGAAAAGCCACAGCTTGTTGATACAGTCTAACCTTGATATAACGAACCTCGATACAACGAATTCCTTGATATAACGAATTTTTTTAAATCCCCTAGAACTCTCCATAAGACACAATGTATATTTTACCTCTACATAACGAACAAACCATAACAACGACCTTGATTTAACGAATTTTTCGTGATTTCGGCTAAAATAAGACACCTCAATATAGCGAATTTATCATTGTCAGAACCTCTACATTGCGAATTTCACCTCTGCATAACGAATTGTCTACGTCTTTCCCTCGATATAACAAATCCCCCACCCCATTATTGTTTTTGAAAAATCTGTTTCTTTATCAAATGCAATGGAAAGGTGACGTCATTGCTTGCGCCAACATTCGTCTGCTCCGTTTTACACATCGCTGTCTGCTGTCGCTGCGCGCGCTATGTTGCAACTGAGAACTGATTTCATTCACTGAGGACTGATGACGACGTAATGTTTTAGTAAGCTGTGATTGGGCGATAAGTAACTATGGTGAATTGTACAATTTTTGGATAAAGAGAAACCTAAGAAAGAATATAAAAACAAAACCAAAGAGAAAGAATAGCAACATCGTTATTTTAACATTCCTTTTTCGAGTGTTTTTATTATCTTTAAGTTGGCTATTGATTATACACATTTATAATGACTTATCTAATAATTTACTGTATTGTTTTCAATACGATTTGTTTCAACTAGCAACACCAATGCTATAGTTAATGATTATTATTGACATTCCTGTCATCTGTTGTGATAAATCAGTACCGGTACTGTACTGTAAGTAGCCTACTGGCCTATCACGAGCAGTAGCTTACAAAACTTTCTACATACTACTGTTTTGTTTTATTCTTTACATGATTTATGACTATGACATGACTACGTAATACAGTGTTTGGCTAGGTTTTAGGAGGGTTAGAACAAGCTGTGATTTTAAACTTACAGTTTCTTAACCTGTACCAAGGTCAATGCCATTGTCATGATTGCGCAATATTCAAGATCCCTCCACTTTATTATGCCGGATAATTTAGGTTCTTCTGTACAATGTAAACACTGTACTGTAAAGTATAGTAGCCTATGCTACTTTAATTGTGTTTTAATGATGACTAATCCCGACCTATATTGACCGACGCTGGTTCTGAACCTCGTCTTAGCGAAATTCCTGCAAACATAACCTCTATATAACGAACCTCGTTTTTACGAAATCCTTGATATAACGAATATTCAGTTCGGTCCCTTCAGATTCGTTATACTGAGGTTGGACTTTTGAAACTAGATCTAGAATTTCTCTATGACTGGACTGCAACCCATTTTTAAAGTACTTTATTGGGAATACGCCGTCTTGTTTCCTAAAAGCTAATGCCAAAGCTGCGATTTTTTTCAACAACCACCACATTCATATACGTTAAGCTTAGCTTACTTCTCACTACCACCATTGACTTTAGATATAAAGTCAATGCTACCACGCACTCTGCTCAAATACCATTGACTTTATATCTACGCGATGGATTACAGTACACTATAGGACGTCTAGTGTAGATATAAAGTCAATGCAAATACTTCGCAAATATATAATTATTTCCGCTCCATAAGACGAGATTAACACACGTTTAAGAGCATTACACCGAGAGATTAAACTTAACGACTTTGAAATTTACTTAAACCTCTTACTCGCCATCTACACTTAGTGAAATGTTATAGATTATACATTTCTCACGGATGAAATCCTTGTGATAGGTAATGGTCGAATTTCATAACGGGCCAAGATACAGGTGTGAGATTTCGAAAGTGATTACTATACAAACAGTTATAAGCTATGATTTCCGTAAGTTTGGTTATTAATTTTAGTTGACGGCATATCAGTCATCAAATGAAAACATTTTTAGTTTGACAGTTTTACAGAATTCTTATTGCAGTTAAAAGTGCATATTTTTAATTCACTACGCATTATTTCATATCGTTACTTAACGTAAGATTGGTTGGTTTTTGTAGTTTGAAAGTTTCAAAATACATCACATTGACTTTCATAAAACCAATAGCCAATTGGATTGCTGTATTTTGACAATTGTATTTTTTACATCATGGCATGTTATTGTAATGAATGAAGATCTTAGATATCACGCACTGCCTCATGTGTTGGTTGTAGTATGACAAGTTGTGAAATTCATCCTGAACTACGGTAAAATATACTTTCGCGCACCCAAGAGTGCCCACATATGACAGGGGGGATACGCTTTAAGCATTACAATGTGATTTTTTCCACCTTCACATCCTACGAGTACGACGCTAGTTCTAGCCCGGTACTGTTTTTCACACTACTTCAGGCCTAGCGGGTCGCGGCATTTTCACATAAACCCCATTGGGGATTGGCGGGATTTGAACCCTGGACGTTGGGGACCGAAGCCCCGCACTCTACCACTAGACCAACCCCATGTGATTACACCGTTATTACAATATGATTAGAATCCATTTTGATTATATATAGATGAATGTACTGTGTAAACGTGTAGTTGTGTGCAGATCGCGATCATAGCACCCTAATGTGGCTAAATAAATATTCCTGATTTGAAATAATGATTTATGCTAATCATGTATAGGGACGTTAAGCTTCAAATTAAATCTCGTGAAAAGTTATGAAGATAATACACATAGTGAATAATATACACATCTTTAAAATTTACAGTCAACTTAACTGTAGAGCCTAAATCACAAAGTAACCTGAAACTATATTAAATACACATTAAAATTATATAATATTTAAATTTCAGTGATCTCAATAGCTAAGAAATACATCAAAAGCAAAAAAATGTAGATCTCAACTTGTTGTTACTGATGTCGTTTTACGTTCGGCGGATTACAAAATTTTAATTGTATATTCCCCGTGTTAAAAACAAATTTATGTCTCTTTAAAATGAGAGCCAAACGGTTTCTCATTGTTGTCATTGTTGAAACAGTTTTTTTAGTCTAAAAAGTTTGGTCCTTTAATTAATTGGGACCAAAGGACACAATAATGGACCTTATTAATTCAATAATCATTGTACTATATTCTGGATTCGACTACTAACTCAACACCTCTATTTTTGGTAATTCTTTCATTATATCGAGGGATCATAATGGCTTGTCTTAAACTTTAAATCGTGGAATTATTTAAATAATAAAATAAATATTCGTGGTATGACTTAAAGGATTTATACAAAACTGATTTGTGTGAAGGTTGTTTTTATCACAATTGAAACGTTGTACTGTCATATTATTAAATAGTACAGTATGAATAAAACCTCCAAAGATTCAAACTGCAAAATCAAACCGCTTTTACGTAAACAAACACTATTTTCAAATTTTCTGTACGGATTGAAACTTTCGTTGAAAATAATTTTTACCTAACAAATAAATATTTTTTCGCACCAATTACCAATTTTAAACGTAAAACAAAGTGTAATTAAATTAATAGACTATTTTTGAACCCGATTAAATGGGTGGAAACCCTAAATGTCTAAGAGGTTTTGTAAATTATAGTGTTTCTTTGAAACAACTACTCAAAAACACTATACAAAGCCATACCACTCCGTACTCTAACACCATTCAAGTACATGAGTGGTAGATAACCCAAAACGTACAAACAGAAGCACGCAATTCTTTAATTCTCGACCCCTTCTACAAAAGCGACCCTCTTTCTGACAAGCAGCAGAGCTCGTCAAGCTGTATCAGAAAAACTGCAGGCGCATTAGGGGTGGTTTTAATTTGAAATTCAGTCAAAACAGGTACAATTTAAATGATTAGTTTACAAACATAATATTTGGTGATCGTACAGGTAGGGTTATCGGTTAAATAGTTTGTATTTAACCTTACAACCTTAAACATAAAGCCTTATAAATCTCCTTAAGCTAATTTATTGGTTATGCATTATTAGTTTTAAATCTGAATTCAAAATATATGAAGGTTTTTGTGGTTATACGGGTGTTTATTTATTGCTATCAAAATTGCAAGTACCAAGGGACACTTTTTAACGAAGAAAACAAAATATTATGTTGAAATAAACCTACCTGTTTTCTATACTTCATTAACGATCAGCTGATTGTTGCATCAGCTGTGCTGCATTGTTGCATAGTTTATTGTTGTTGTGAATTTATTGTAAATAAGACTCAATGGAGTAAAGAAAACAGGGATACCAACATAAGCTTGTTTTGTCGTTAAACAGTAACACATAGTTTTAGTAACTTGGGTTGTGTTTAAAAACCGCACTGTGTAGAGTATAGGTCAAATGATCTTTTTATTTATTGATATAACAATAATATGCTCCCGTTCTATTCATTTATGAATTTTGTAAGAATCAACTATTCATTACTACATTTTTGGTTTAACGTACATGGTTTTTTTTAATTATAACTCAATGCGACTGACATCCCATCTAAATGTACAGCTGTTGCCAACCAAATATTAATTAATAAACATCGAACTCGAATGAGCCAATCACGCAATGATACCATTCGATTTTTCTGTTTGTACAATAATGTATCATGTGATACAAAAGATGTCCGCAACAAGCTATCAATTTAGTTTGGCTCGGATAAAAAAGTTAACGTATTCGACAAAAAACAGCAATTTACACCAACAGACTTGCAGGTAGCTCAATAAAACTACATCAATTTCTTTTAAAACTGGACATAAACGTAGATTAAATATCTTATTGGTTAGCGAACGCCAACTATAACAACCGATGGGAACGTGTTATCAACTACTAGCGATAGTAAAAGAAAAATACGTAAAGTTAAATAGTTTTATTAACCCATTTCAGTGGTTAAATAAGAAAATAACACAAAAAATAAATGAAACACTTACCTTCTGGTCTATTGTTGCCTAGTATCTGGTCAATGCTGTATACAGCCCTCGGTCTAGCGGCGACTGAAGCTGACACCATATGTCGGTCCATCATAGTCAGAGGCTGCGAGTTCGAGTCCAGACGTAGACGCTACCAGGAAGACAGACGCGGACACACTGACTGAATAGATTGACAGCTTAACTTCCCCTCCACAACCCCCAACCTAAATAGCTAATAAGTGAAAAAATCCACCCCTCCCCCACCCTCCGCGAGGTCAGGGGCGCATGCGCACCTCCAACCAATCAGAGCGCCGCGCTGGCTACAATGGGAGAGCTTTTTGTAAGCGCAAAGTTATTCCATGTAATTGTATCAACCGAAACTTACCTAAGCTTTTTTGTTGTTTCCGTTCCCCCCTCCTTTGGGTTTCATTAAATTTGCCTCCGTTTATTTTACTGTTAACGCCCCAGTTTGGGAAATGTGGAAAAATAAATGGAATAATATTGTTGGATTTGTTTAGTTTTTTGTAACAGATGCATGTATTGTTGCAATAGTATTTGTTAAATTTTGTAGGAGAATTATTATTATTTTGTTTAATTGGTGCAGTAATCTTCCTGCATTAGTGGTGCCGTATCGGTTTTATTAATCTAAAACCTATATTACAAGTTTCATTTATAATATTACACTTATATTACGATTCAATTCGGAGTGTGAAATATAAAAAAATTGAATAAAGTAATATATTTTCCAAATGTTATCGATGGCAATTTTGGTTGTTAATTAATGAATCTATCTGGGAAAAGGCTGACGTCATAGATAGATTCAAGAATCTGGTTCGTCGGTTAGATTGACACTCGCCCTCGATACAACAACAGATAAAGACATGCGTTACCCAGTCGTTGTAATCGTAAATCATGTTCAATCTCTAAGTCATTTAAAAACAAATTATTTTATACTTAACTATAAAAGTCAATAATTATACTTGCAAACAACACACAGCACACAGTGCCTATTTTTCGAAAATTTCCCATAAAGGGAATTAGCTATTACCGTGGAACTCATGGTAAACTTGGATAAATAGCACGACCACTTGAATAAAAAAGCTAATTTTTGTGAACTTCTGTAAATAGTGTAAACCTACAATATTATTCTAACAAGTTTGCGAACCAGTATGATCGGATGGACCTCTGAACTGTGTTTAATGGAGGGTTTATGAGTAAAAATCACAATTTCCTTCTAAACTACTTTGTAGCACTTAAAATTAGTACATTACTCCCAATACTAATGAAAATACAAAAAAAATAAAAAAATAAATAAATAAAAAAAGTCTTATGTTAATTTTATGAAGATTATGTAAACTACTATATTTTGCATGTTTAGGGATATATTTAGACAAAATTTGGGAAATTTGTTTATTCTTTACACATACTAACCTATCAATATTTTTTACAAAAACATTTTTTGTTACCTTCCCTGTAGCAAACCTAAGGAACTATTAAAGTTCATTTAAATTATGTTCAACAATTTTAAGGGAATATTTGATTTGAAATTCAACCAGGTAGATGGAAATTCGCTTGGTCTGCAGGTTTTCTTTGAATTGTATGTATACTTCTAGTCATTGGTTTTGTATAAGGTTTAACTGGTCTTGTTAACATCGGTTTTTTTGTGGGGGAGGGGGGGGGGTTCTGGCAAACAACCTCATAATGCAAAAAGCTCTTATTATTGTTCTGAATAATAAAACAGCTTATCTTTGTCGCAACAATCTACTAAATTCATCTCACTTTATAATTCATTCATTTGGGTTCAGTTGCTTTTCCAAAGTGGCAAAAATGAACTACAGTACCTCATTATTTTCACATGTATCTCTGTACAAGGAAATTTGTCCAATTCACAACCAAAACCTATACGTGATTCTACGATGCTCTCTAAATCGTACTAATACTTTAATAGCCTGATATTATCCATTAGCAAGTTACATGCTCGTAATGTGTTTACAGGCGGGAGCCCCTAGTCTAGACTGGAGGCGACGCGGGCCTCATTTAGCATACAAGTCTCCATGCAGCCGCGCCGTGCCGCGTGCCATTTAGGCTGCATGGCACGGAGACTTAGCCATTACCTGTGGCACGCTTCATTAGAGTGATGCTAAAACAAGGGATTTGTCAAGTGGTCAGTGACGTAATACATTGGAACCCCAATCAGAAGATTCAAGGTCCTTGAAACCAGTCATTTCCGACCTAAGGTTTTATATTACTCATTGCAAACCTTTAACATTAAATCAAATTTAATCATTTTATCAGCCCAAAGTAACAATAATACAGTTTGCATTCGCCAGGTGACAACAGTACAAAAATACTATATAAACAGTTACTAATTCTAATATGATTGACGATTTCAAGTTTCACAAGTACAGTAGAACCTTGATAATAAGTCTGTGGAAGTTCCCGTGAGATACTTGATATCGAGGTTCTACTGTATATTGAAACTTGGGGGAGCGAGCTAATCTAGGTTAGAGCGCTGGACTCCGGTTCCTGGGGTCCCGGGTTCAAAACCCGCCAAATCACCAATGGGTTTTATCTTATCTAAGGGATAATGACGTAACCCCTAGGTTTAGCCTGAAGTAATGTGAAACACAATTCCGGGCTCAAACCTAGCGTACTAGGACAAAAAAAAACTCTATATTTAAACTTGATACTGTTAATAATTTTGTAAAATATTATAAATTGTCTAGGTAGGCTAGTGATTATTATAGTGCTTGACTTTAAAAATAATCTGGGCTGATACATTCTAGACCCAAATACCATTTGCCATTGGGTTATCCAATGTTGCTCTCTAAAAGGTCGAAATTAAATATTAACAAGAACCCACTATATAAATACTAGGTACATAGTCTGGTTTGACTGTTTCCTAACAAAAATCGTATTGACGCTTCTGACGTAAGCCCACGAAAATATCATTAAGTATTATAAAAACCCTCCGCTGCAGCAAACCTGCGGAATAGGCTAATAGCTATTGGCTTTCCACTAAACAATTTCCTTACAATTGTCAGATTTATTTTCTATTTTATTAACATAAGATATTTTAATGGGCTACATTGAAGTGATTTTTTCGTAAAGTAAGAAAAGATTATATAAAATAAATAAATTTGCCAAATTGGTTCAAATCATCATATGTATTAATAGACAAGCATGTCCCTTGAAAACCTGTTTTCTCAGCTCGTGTGCATGGCAAGAAAATATACGCATACTGTTAGAAAGATATTTGCCAGCCTGTAGGTGTGCAGAATCGCTTTATAAATTAAATATGCTCAAAAACAAGAACAAACTAAGAATAAAAAATGATGACACCAATGTCCAACCTTATGGCCATAAGGCCAACCTTATGGGTTACCATGCTGGTGACAAAATAGCATTGCTAAAAGTTTGATATTTTTACTACTAGTAGGGAAACAAATTTTACATTAGTGGTAACTTCGTTATCGCGAAGAAACTTATCTTAAATCTTAGTTCGTGTCCGTGTTCCACCCCTAATAGCCAAGAGACAGACAGTTTACAGAGCCCCAAAGGTTAGGGTCCTGGATTACCAGGAATATTTTAAAGTACATATCATATTTAACAACTCGTCTCGTCCCCAGACATTAATAGAGTAGGCTACAGCAGACCATGAAAGGTGTCTGAAAGCTAACTTTCCAAGGCTTTTGTTGTGTTTGATTTTAACTAATCAGAGATTTTAAATAAGGAAACCGTGGTAGAAGTCCCGAAAAATGTCAGTAGTTTTTCCTGATATTTCAAAGCTATGCAAAGTCTTTACTGAATGGATTTAAATGGAATTTTAAAAATAAGTGTGTACCAAGCAATACTTAATGTGACATAGTTTTCCAAAGCTCTAAATAATTCCATAAATACAGGGTGTCCTGTAAGTAAACATAGAAACTCCGGGAAATGGTACAATAAATCAAAATAAAGATAAATTCAAGAATAAAATCGTTTGGAATATCGCTTTGCTAATCAAATATCTGCTAAGCTAATAAGGAAGATAGTCAGGGTGCGAATAATTTCGCCTTATTTTACACGTAAATATCATGATATATCATAACATAGCTGTTCGTTGTTAAATCTCTTTCAACTTGGAGTCTATTGATACGAAATTCAATGCTAAATAAAAAAATGAATAAATAAAAGAAGACAGTGTTCCTGACATGTTATAAAACTTAAAATGGCCACCTTTTTGATATTTAAAACTAGACAAATCTTTTTTTCTTTCTAACGTAAACCTCTTCTACCTTCAAATAGCCTACTACATACCAAGTTTCATTAAGTTTAGTTAGAAAAATTCAAAGATAAAAAGGTGTATTAAAAACATACAAAATGGTGGATATTTGATTATATAACTTCTTGATCAGCTTTGTACGTGTTATTAAATTTACGGATATATTTGATTAACAAAGAGTTTTTGGGAAAAAACATGGTTCTTGATTTTATTTTTATGTTTACCTATAGAACGACTTCCCAGAGTTTGGCTGTTTTCTTAAGGGACACTCTGTATTAGTATTTCTAGATCAAAATGAGAAACTACACCTTTTGCGTGTTCAAGTGTTGGGATTTCCTCATACAAAATTAATGTAATACTCTGAACTTTGTACTTAAACGGAATCCCATCTAAGCTCCAAACACAGTACTGCTAGACTCGGGCTTACAAGATAAGTGCATCAGACTACTTATAGTAATCGATAGTAATCGATAATTCGATAATACTCTCAGTTATCTAGAATTTAACCCTAATAGTAATTCTTGAACTATTAATAACATAGTCGTAGATTAATCAGTACAGTGTAATGGGTACATGTGGAATAAGACATTGTCAGCAGCATACAACTAACAAGTATTTTTTACGTATGATTATTTTGTAACAAAGTATATCCTTTGAATGTGTGTAAGAAAGGTTTTAAATTAATTTTAATTTTTTCATTGAACTCGGTTGACAAAACCGTAATTTGTATATTATTAAGATGACTATTGAAACACAGATGATTGAATGATTCTGTATTCTTTTTGTAAAGAGAAGTAAAAAATTTGATAGTTATTATTACAAAGTTGTGACGATGTTTGACCTTCGGCCATTCTCTTTCAGACGCAGTTTTTAAAAAGGTTTTATGTCTAAAAAAC